TGAGTAACGTCTGCATTCGCGTTTTCCAGCCTCAAATCGTTATTTAACGGCGGGTATTTGAAACTAAAATCGAGTTATAAATTCTCTAAGCAAGCGATGTCTTCATAAACGAAAAAGCACTTAGGGAGACACCTGCAACGAAAAACAAAAATCTACATTATTCTGTTTTCTTATAATGGTATTTGGCACCAAAAAAATAGTGCAACTTTATTTTAGCAAGTGAGGTTGACAGGAAAGCCTCGACGTTTTAAATTTTTTTCACCATAACGTAGGACTTCTTTAGTTTACACATTACTGCCTCGACTGCAATTTAGAGACAATTTTTTTAACCATCCTTAAAAGACTAAAAATACTGTAAAGGAACTTCAAATTAAAAAAAAAAAACAGGATTTCCTTCAGAACGAACGAACTAAATGTAAGTTGGGTCGCCTCTTAAGATGCATATGCGGACACATATTATCGCTGTGTTCAACTAAAGCCAGAATTTCGTCCAGTCTTCGTGACAGGTGTTTGCAACCCTACAGCAAAATCCAGAGGTTTTGAGATGCAATGTGAGAGTTTAGTATCCTGTCAAAGAGCCCAGCTGCAGCGAAATGACTCAGGCCGAGGCTCGAACCAAACTATATGTTTAGTGCATTTGCTACAGTGACTCGGATGAAGAATTTGTTTGTTCGCTTGTAAAGTTTGTTGCACAGCAATGATGAGTTCTCAAGTGGTTATAAATGTTATACTCTGCGTATTTACACGGGACGTTCTTAGCTAAAAAAGCAACACACTTCTCTGTTTCTAAGTAGTAACGGAGTAACACAGGTTACTATTTGGCTGGTTTTGCCATGAAATCCTTAAACTCCCAGAGTTCATAAAAATGAAACTTTTCCCTTAATATCCTTACATTATCCAATAATAGGTAATGAGAATACTCAAACTTATGACGTAAGAATTGTTACCTTAATCTAACAGCAAGCTTACGCTGTTAGTGCATATTTAGGAACAACAACAGAATAAACAACGAGTAATAAACAAATTAAAACATTAAAAAACCATAAGAGTAAAGTCCATAAAAAAAATTAAAAACAATTCAAATAATTACCGACCTTAATTAAAGATACTTTTTTGTGTAACTGTAGGCTCGTGTAGCACTTTACACTAATGGAACAGAAGTCCTGTCTACCATATTCAATGCCAAAGGGACAACACACTTGGATTGGTTTTCACAAAAAAATCTTATTCAATCATCGTGGACTGATCTCAAGAATGCGACATACATATTACCCTTTCATATAGATGGCCGCTTTGGGGTACGCAACTTCGAAATTGATGCCCACGACGGGGGATGAGAGCAAGACTCTGGGTGGCTCGTAATCACTGGACCTCACTGTGACTGGGAGAAAAGAACTGGTGTTGTTCCAGGAATACTCTTCAGTAAGAAAAACTCAAATCTTAAGAGTACCTCTGTTAATGTTTGCTAGTGTTGTTTTTGTTTAATATCTCGAGGCGTCGTGAACAACCCAATCGAATGGTTTCGTAGCCGTTTTTTCAATTCTAAAGTTAATGGCCATAGAGATAAAAATACCTGAAGCAAATTGTCTCTTCGGGTTTTGTGATATGTGTCGATTATCCAATCGACGTTGTCCTGGGATTATTTGACAATATCAAGATTTTATAAGCACTTGGCAATATCCTCTTTTTCGATAAATGTTTTAACCAGTGACATTTTCAGAGGACGTTTCTACTCACTGTCATTCTGGGGTTGAGGTATTTTATCATAATGATAATTAGAAGGACAGAAACTTGTAACTCCAGAAAAAGTCTTGGAATAATGGTAGGAGTGAACTAAATATAATCTCAGAAATGCCGACAAAGCTGAAGCAAACTTATTAATCTTAAATCTAGTTCTTATGTTTTTCTCTACTCTATTTGTCTTTAAAAATGAATAGCTAATATGTTCTAGATAAATTATCTATAATGTACTCCTTGTCAGTGATTATTTTTAACATTCTTTTTTCAAGCTGATGTTGGAGTTACAGAGGTAATGATTGTGTACATTCGTTGAAGACCAAAGATACCAGTCTTACCAAATAGTTAGTTGGAATATTATGCACATACCTGAGATTTATCTAAGTACTTATCACACATT